TATTCAGTAACTGTTTACAACATGCAAGGGTTCTTTGAGGAACCAAGGACACAAGAGCTAGTATACAAACCGTTGCTGACTTAATGTCAACGCTGTATGACGTGTATCCGTGTGTGCACCAGCGCTGTGCCAGGTGACTCATACAGCTGGGTTTTGCTTGGGGAGGTGATGTGAGCTGTCCAAGCCACAACAACTAAGATGTGGAAGAGAAAACATTTAAGCCCAGTTTGGCCGCCTCTGGCGCCCAAGCTCAACCGCAGCGTCATGCCGTGCTTCCGGCAGATAAGGTTTATTAAATTGCTAGTGTGACAAATGAAAAAGAAAGGAAATCCAAGACACCCAAGCCTGTAGAGGCACAGAGAAGACCATCGTGGGTGGGGCATTTTAGCTGAGCGAGAGGTAACTGAGGAAAGCTGGAGCTGTTGACGGGGTGTGCAGCTCAGCAGAGGAAAAGTCGGAGCAAGATACAGAGAAACTGAAAAAAAAAGAAAGAAAGAAAGAAAAAGAAAAGAAACGAAACTGTACGATTAAAATCAAGTGATGGGAGGAGGAAGAAAGGGCCAGTAGTAAGATGTTGGCTTACTATGGAGAACAGTATAGTTTCCTTAAAAAAACTAAAAATAGATTTGCCGTATGTTGCAGCAATCCCACTCCTGGGCACATATCTGGAGAAAACTCATTCAAATAGACACCGGCACCCCAGTGCTCACAGCAGCACTATTTAAAGTAGCCAAGACATGGAAGCAGGCTAAGCGTCCATCAACAGACGACTGGATAAAGAAGCTGTGGTGTATTTATACGTGGAATACTACTCAGCCACAAAAAAGAATGAAATAATGCCATTTGCAGCAACATGGATGGACCTAGAGATTATCACACTAAGTGAAGTCAGTCAGATAGAGGAAGAGAAATATATGATATCAGTTACATGTGGAATCTTAAAAAATGCTAAAAATGTTATTTACAAAACAAAAATAGACTCACAGTCATGGAAAACAAACTATGGTTACCAGGGGAGGGGAGGAGGGGGAAGGGATAAATGGGAAGTTTGGGATTAGCCGATACAAACTACTATATATGAAATAGATAAACAACAAGGACCTACTGTAGAGCACAGGGAATTGTATTCAGTTTCTTACATAACATATAGTGGAAAAGAATCTGAAAAAATATGTATGTGTGTATATGTATAACTCAGTCACTTTGCTGTACACCTGAAACTAACATTATAAATCGACCACACTTAAATTTTTTTCTAATTTTTTAGTTAAAAAAAGTTGACTTGTTTGTGAACTTTGTTGGTTACATGGTACTTTATCTAAATGCAAAAACACACAATCCCACCACCCAGACTTGGGTTTTTTATAATCTTCTATTTTCTTGCATATTCTGTTATTTTTAATTGAATATTTCATTTTTAAGTTATAAATTGAATGTGTGGAAATTGGTTTTCTTCCATTTTTAACACAGTAAATAGAGACATGACTTGAGTTACTGGATGATTTTTTCACATAAAATGTCCTTTACTGGACATGCCCCACCTCTTGGTGAGGGTCCTTCATGGCGGTTATGCTTCGACTGGTTTTGCAAAATTGAGTAGGAAGGGGATCCTCGCATTTTCCGCTACTTGAAAGGCTTTGACCTCATCATGAGCAGACATTCTGCTTTGTAAACACTTTGCCAGCTGGTTCGCAGGTGCGGCCGGCTCCATGGCACCCACAGCCACGGGTCATCCACCTTCACAGCCCAGAGTCTGTGTTCCCATCTCTAAGAGGTAAGTCCCTGAGGGCACTTGCTTCTGATGGACACCTGTTACACCAGCATTTAAAACGTAATTCAGGCACAGGAGCATCCTTCTGCGTCAGTGGGAAACCAGCTCCTGGAGACCAGCCCCGCCTCCTCGCCAGCACTTATGGCTTCCCTGGGTGACTCAGCTCCCTGGAAGGAGAGAACCATGCTTCTTGAATCCACCAAGGCAGCCACGCGTCCTGAAGGAAGAAACACTTCAGCAGAATTCCAGCCTTTTTCTTAAGTTTTTAGAATTTTGCTAAGGCTGTTTTACTTTTTAACTCAGGAAAAAGCTTGCCCTTGATCAATTTAGAACATGAGCAAGGCGGGGTGGGGGCGGGGGGACAGCATCTGAACTCTGACCTCCGTTCCCTCTGCTTGCTGGTTGCATGTGAGCTGAAGTGCGATGGGGATGCACGTGATGGTCCCAGGCTGTGCCTCCTTCACAGGGTTGTCATGAGACTTTAGAAAGTAAAGGGGGAAGGCGCTTTGAAGGCAGTGGCTGGTGATGAGTCTGGAGGGGTGCTGGCTGTTACTGAATGGGGGTCCTCACTGACGTGCAGCGTACGGTGAAGAGGTCCAAACTGCTGTGTGTAAAGCAGACAAACTACAAGGATACACTGCACAGCACAGGGAACGTAGCTCCAAACCTCTGAGTCCTGAGATGAGAACTGGATGTAGTCCAGTTTCCATTTCCTCTCATATGCAAATTCCCTCCAAAAATGGTGTTTTATCCTCTACTGTCTATTTCAGCCAACACTGACAGCAGATAGTTGATGGTTCAGTTGGTGTCATCACAACGGTCCCAGTCAATGTGAAATACGAAAAACGTAACTGCATAAAACAGAATTGCTTTCATAGTACATGCCTCGGCAAGAGGGCCTGTCCCAGGGCAGGTCTTACTTAAATTCATTTCATTAAATATTTAAATTACAAAAGCATTACATCTTTTGTCAAAAGCCAAAAAAATTAAAATGTGCACTTGAGAAAAGTTCATGCCTTACACAGAATGTTCACAACTTGCTTTGAACCCCTGTCCCTGGGCTAATAAAAATAATTAAATGTTTATAATTAACTAATTTAAAAAATTAAATAAGTTTAGAAAACAAACCAAAAATGAACTGGACTTGATTTCCCCCCTAGTTCAGTCGAACCCAGGTCAGAATTGTACCAGACTTGGGTTTATCACTTTTCCCCAGAGCAAGCAGAATCTCTCATTTCTGGGGATTCCCTTCCCCAACATTTCCAAGTTGCGTGCCCCTCACACCCTAGCTCTGACCATGTCACCATGCCGCTGCTCCCCCATGTTAGTGAGAAGGCAACAAGCATGTAACAAATTGTGTCCTAGCCAACTGATCCCCACATTAGTCAGTATATGTAAGTTGCAAGTAATAAGAAATTCTATCTAAATAGGTTTAAATAACAGAGAAAGTGATTGGTTCCTATAACCGGAAGCCCAGAGCTAGAATGGCATTGAGTGTTGACTTAGTCTAACGGCACCATCTTTCTTTCCCCGCAAATCTCTCTGCTTGGCTTCCTCTGGTGTTGGCTTCATCCCAGTCCGGGAGTGACGAGCTCACAGCAAATCCACGGCTCATACCCATGTGAAATAAATCCAGACCAAAAGAGAAAGGATTGTTTCCAGGAGCTCACCCAGAAATAAATGAGAATTTTCCCAAAGGTCCCAGCTCCCCTCTACTTCCATCTCCCAGTTCACAATGATTCACAAATCAAGAGCATGGCATTAGTTTTAGACCAACTGGACATCCCTGGAATTTCAAGTGCCTTTAGCATCCCCCGAGACACACGGACTTCCTGGAGAAGGGAGGACAGCTGAATACAAAGGGTTCTGCTAGGATTAACTTTACAGGAAAAAAACCTGGTGGGCACTTGGCTAAACCAAGTGATCAAAGTTCCTCATTGCTAATAACACAAACCAGCATTGTGTGCCTCCCGACATGACATACTGGAAAAGGTGCACAGCGTCATTTATGCAGTGTTTCCAGAATAACGCATCACCTGAATCCAATCATGATGAAATGTCAGAGAAAACCAGCTTGGTTACCTACCACATAACTCGTCTTCTCCAAAAATGTCCATATCATTAAAAGTAGGGCTTGGGGAATCATTCCAGATTAGAGGTGACTAAAGAGATAGGAAAACCAAATGCAGCGTGTGGTTCTGCTATGAACCATGCATCAGGAGGAAAAATGCGAAGATTACTGAGGCAACGAGTGAAACTTGAATCCAGTCTTAAGATCAGATAATACTGTTATGTCAGTGGAACACGTCCTGCCTTGGATCATTGCTCTTTGGTGCCGTACCTGGATGGCCCCATAGTCAAGCATGAAGATAAGGGATGCGGTATCTGCATTTACCATCACACGATTCAGGAGAAAAAGTTGATAAGTAGATAGATGGGGACAGAGGAGGGAGAGGGGACGAGGGTGTGTGAAGAGAATAAAACAAATGTGCCGCGACAGTGCAGAAGCCAGTGAGAGTCTCTGCGGTACCGAGTATGGTCATTGCAGCTTTTCAGCAAATTTGAAATTGTTCCAAAATGGTAGCTTTTTAAAAAGGGTCTGAAAGATTTCCCATAAAGTGGGCCACGTTCATGCTTCCCTGGCCTCCATCACATTCTGACTGGAGGAGACAGCTTTCGAAAAGGGTCAAGAGCACCCCGCCCCCACCCCGCCTCACATCCTTGCGTTTAGCCGCATTCCCTCGTTCTTCAAGACGGCATTTAAATGCAAACAGCAAAGATAAAGCTCTTGCCTCAAATCAGACAGGAAGCCTTCCTATTAATCTGGGCATCAGAGAAGAAAAAACATTTTAAGTAAAGCGATAGAATTTAAATACTGCAAAAATAATAATAATAATGGCTTTTGCTGTCCTTTCTTCAGGTTTTCAAACCCAATAGTTGCCAAAAAATACTATTCTCTTCATATTATGATTGTTTATTCAGTCACTCTGGAAATACTGATGACTTTTAAACAATCGTTGCTCACTGCCAGCGGGAAAAAAGCTGTAATATCACCAGTTGACTCTTCATTGAAACTGAAATTAAAATACGTTTATTACATTGGGAAGTGAGGTCTATTCAGTGTGGCTGAGATCGATGAATATGACAGTAGGTGAGAAACGTCTGAACAGGCAAACCAGAAAATCAGTTTAAAATAAGGAAACGTCACATATGCAATTTTACAAGAAAATGAACTGTAATTCAGCATTACTTTTATTTTTGTGCTGCTTAATTTTATATACATGACATCATACAGACATACATGTTATACAAAAGTCTCTAAAAAATCCGAGTAATTTAATATCTATACATGGGACAGGGAGATACTGCATTTGATTTCTGTTACTATTCTGTTTAAATACTTTTTAAAATTCAGATTTCAAGGAGACAACAAATCAAAAGCCATTAATTTTTCAGAAAGCTTTGTGTTCACATAAATTCATCATTCAAGGATATTTTTATTGAAACAATAAACCATCTGCCTGGTTGCAAAGTCAAACTGAATTAAGCCAGGATGTCGTGTAAGAGGAAGGCTTCCTCTCTCTGCTACCATCAGCCTAGAATCAGGGAGTCAGCTTCTGACGCGTGAGAGGCCGAGCACAGCAGTGGTCTGCAACCTCACACTATGAAACGCCGCCTCACAGGGCGGACGAGGCGCGGCGCACCCTGCGCTGCTGGTCCATGGATTCTCGTCAAACGTATAACACTAAAAGTAACAATGATCGGAAGTTTTACATTTCCTAATTTTTTTTCTATTCAATTTGAAAACAGTACATCATTTTCGTTGTGCTTGGCAACCTGACATCACACTTGAAGGAATAATTTAAACATCCTCTGGACAAAATATATACATAAACCTCTAAAAGATCTTGGTATTATTTAACTAATTGAGTCATAATTTTGGTTCTATAGTTACCAATTGTAGCAAATACAAAGAATTTAAAACAATATTCCTCACCAAAGTAATAACATGTTTTAAAAAAGTGAATTGTTGAGGCACAAAAACCTATGTGATTTGCCCAAGGTCACAAAAGGAATGAGGGGCAGATGAGAGAGCATCTTTTTCCTAACTTAAGTGTCTGTACTAAACCTTAGGTTATGCCACCATTGCAAAACTGGCTCATTGCAAGAGATAACAGAAATTAGAGGCATTATTTAGGAATGTTCGTTTAACCTAAATTGCTGTTATTAACAAACTTAACTTTAAGGATCTATGTTTATCGTACATTATTAGGAAGTTATAAAGAGAAACATGATCATTTTCTGAACGATTAGGCATGTAGTGAGTTACGGTTTCAGTCTGACAGTTGATTGCAGAAATGAAACTGACAATACAACTTGAAACAAACAAGTTCAGAAAAGACGCTTATTTTTAACATGATTTTTTAAAAAATACTAATTATAGAACCTACAAAATTTAGAAGAGTGTACTTTTTTGCACAAACATATTAATATAAATGTATTAAGTCGTCTTCTAGCTGATCTTTCGTTTCCGATGAAAACGCTCCAGCAGAGCACTCATGATGTTCCCTGGTATTCTTTGGTGCTTATCGATCAAAGCTTGAACAGCATCCTTCGTCTATTAAGAAAACAAAAGAGAAGCCGTGATCCTTTTTGTTCTCAACATAGGTGTTTATTTCGTGAGGACTTTAACACACTTACTGCTTTCAAGAAGTCCTCCCTAACTTAGCACCCGTCTCTCCTGAGAATTAACGACTTCCTTCTCGTACACCCACAGCGTATTTCTTATATTTACTTTATTATGCGTGAATTATAGCTACTGTCCACATGGAGACTTCCTGTGCCAGACTGTAAGCGCCTTAAGACACATCTTAGCATTTCTCCAGCACTGAGCACAGCAATGCCTTGCACGCAATAAACACTAAAAAGAACCAAAGGAAAAAGATCAGAGGGAAAAAACAGTGGGGAGTCTTCTGGGAGGCAGATGGAAGTTTCGCTCCTTTCCAGCCATTAACAAACTTCCACGTACTTTCTTCTCATCACCATACGCACCGATTACATCAGGCAATGTGAAGGGAAAAGTGAGAAAAAACTCTCCATGAGATGACCTGCTTCAGCCCTTTACACCAACGTCTAGACAGCTTAACAGGAATTTAAATTAAGTCATAGCAATGGAAAAGCCAATTAGGATATATCAAGAAACCTTCTAAAACTATTTGTTTCCCATTAAGTTCATGACACATTTCAACAATTTTTACTTTTAAGTCAGTTTGTAGCTATCTAAAAAACGTTTTATTTCATAGACATATTGTAACGCAGCGCGCACGCACACAGACATACACACGCGCACACTCCCTCCCTTTCAGATGCTAACCCTTCACTGAGCCTCCTTTTCACAAATTCTGGACCTTCCCCCTTTTTATATATAATGAATAAATCCTAGCCCAAAGACATATTTTAAAAACCTGTCTCTCTAAACCACAAGGTTTTTTAATCTGTGAAATGAAAACTTATTACACGGATTATATGAAACTGAACCCACATCTTCCAGTACTTAGCACAGTGATCGACACACAGGTTGTGTCCTGTGAAGTGGGTTTTTATTTTATTTTATTCATTCATTCAGAAAATACCAGGTGCTTTGGAAGCTACCGCATTAGGGAAACAAGTGTCTAGTCTGAAGCAGCTCATCACTTAATAAGCACAATCAAGCAAAAGAGGTTAAACCGTAAGAGCTCAGTGAGCTGTGCCATCCGAGCAGTGAGAACAAGGCATCCTTGGTGCCCTGATGGGCGTGACCAGAAGGGCGTGTGACCGGCATTCCGCTCGGTCTGGGTCTCCCAGGACCAGTAAGATCTCAGTAACGGTGACGAAAGGAGCACGAGGGGCGAGACCACGGGAAAACAGCCAAGGAAAGGCTGGAGCTTCAGGGTGTCCCCATGCTGGGCAGTATAAGGCTTAGGAAGGGAGTTAAGTACCAAGAGAAACAGTACAGACTCTGTTCAGTACGAATTGCGGTGTCAAGGAAGGACTTCTGGGTGGAGAAGTATCAGGGCTTGCATGAAGGACACACATCTCTGGCAAAGATCACTAAAGACCCCCTTTTGTCACTAAATCCACCGGACAGTCTTTTAATCTCACGTGACCTCTCAGTCCCCATCGATCTTTTTCTGGAACTCTCACGATGGAGGAAAGGCTCGGTTTTCAGGCCGCCCCCTTTCAGTCTCCTTTTGCGGATTTCTAATCCCCAAATCCGGCCCTGATTCACTCCTCAAAGGCTCGGCGCGCTCAGCCATTCTCACAGCTTAGCTACCGCCCGTTTGCTGGTGACTCTCCAGCTCCTGCCTCCAGCCTGTCCCACTGTTTCTTTGTTTACCCTCTTCCCCCTGCCCCGAGTCCCCACGTCCAAGTCTCCAAGTCGCGCCCGTCTTTCGAGACCTACCACAAACGCCCTCAACTCCAGGACGCCTTCCCTCGTCCCTCCCGCACAGAGCAGGCTGGGCTCCTTCCCTCCCGGGCTGCTCCTGGCCTCACTCAAATTCAGCCTCCGCGTTCCTCCTTGCGATCTTTCCAGAAGCAAACCTATTACATCATTCACCTGCTTTCAGTAGCTACTATCCCTGGCTTTCAAGAAACAGAATCAACTGTACGCCTTCGTCGTCCAGACCCTCCTACGTTTCTCTCATCTTCTGTAAATAATATCCCTTCAGCTAACTACCCTCTGCTCCCCAAAGATTTTATGCGGTTTCGCCATTTCGCGTGGCCGTGCTTTTATACGTTCCGTTCCCTCTACCTCGTTACTCTTCGTCCAGCTCATCCCTTTCAAAACTGAACTCAAGCATCACCTCCTTCAAGGAGGCGTCCCTGATTGAATTTAGATGTCTTTCCTTTGTGTCTCCCTAATACCCTAAGACAGCAGTTCTCAATCAGCGGAGATTCTGTCTCCCAGGGGACACGTGGCAATGTCTGGGGACATTTTTTACTGCCATGATGAGTGAGGTTTAGGGTGAACAGGACTGCTGGCACCCAGTGAGTAAACGGCCCCACAGCGAAGTATCAGCCATGCCCTGGTTGAGAAATCAGGCCACGAGTGCACCACTGTGGTCACACGTCACCTTATGAACACTGATTTGGTTACATACCTCCCAGCCGGGGTGGCAGCAGTAGCCAGCGTTCACCGAGCACTTAACCGTGGGGCAGACGCTGCTCTAAACCAGGAACTGAAGCGACCCCGTGTGACCCTCAGGGATCACTCCGGAGTGGGCACCGCGCACTCCCCTGCTCCGCAGGCTGGGGGAGCGAGGTGGGCTGCCCGAGGTCACACAGCCAACCGACAGTGGCGCCGGGACCCATCTGACTTCATAACCCACACTCTTAAATACTAATCCATTTTCCTCCCAAGATATTTCTACCAGACAAAAACACTTTCTTTCTTTTCATGGAGGAAAAGCTTTTTCCTTCTGAACATCACTTTGGAACCTTCAACCTCAGCATGACTGGCATTTTAGAAGGAGTGGTTCTCTGTTGCAGGGGGCTGTCCTGTGTGCTGCAGAACGTTTACCAGATCCCTGGCCGCTACCGCGGGATGTCAGTAGCATAACCACCCCCACGTCCTGTCCATTATGACAACAAAAAATGTTTCCAGGCACTGCCAGATGTCCTCTGGGGGAGAAACACCACTGATCCAGAACATGCTTACAGAATCAATTAATTAACCTTCAACCTCATAACTGAAAGTAAAAATATGTCCGAAAACTAAGAAAGAAAGAATAATTAACCTTAGCGGGGAGGGTATAGCTCGAGTGGCAGAAAGCATGCTTAGCATGCATGAGACCCTGGGTTCAATCCCCAGTGTCTCCATTAAAACAAAAACCTAATAATAAATAAATAACTAGACCTAATGACCCCCCCCAAAATTAATTAATTAATCAATTAATTAAAAAAATATTGGGGAAAAAAGACTAGTTCACCTTTTCGGCTAATTCTTCTGCTGTTATCTTTGGATCGTATGGAATGGGGTCACCTAAATAGGTGCGTAACTTCACAGGAAAACCTCCATACATTGGAGCAAATGGATAGCGGAACTTTTCATAAAGCCACCGAAATAACCCTGTTTTAAAAGTAAACAAAATCATTTTAATTGGTTAAATATTCTGAGCATATAATTGAAAACTTTCAAATTAATTATGTAAGACTGAGAGGAAGGCGGCAAACATTATCACCTCCTGGCAGTTAATACAATATATTTTTTTAAAGATGAGCTTTTCATTGATGGTAACAAATGTCCCACGTTAACGCAGGATGCTAATGATAGAAGAAACTGAGGGAGTGGGGGGTTTACGGGTACTCTCGGTGCTTTCTGCTCAACTTTTCTATAAACCTAAAAATGCTCAAAAAAATAAGGTTCATTAATTAGGGGGGAATGAGCTTTTAAAAACGTAAGAATTTTAAAACCAAACCAATTACTATTATTGCAAAGCACAGGATAAAGACTGCAACAAAAAGCTGAAACTAAGAAGTCTAGACTTACAAATATGTGACTTACGTGAATAAAAGAAAAAACGGAAGCATAAAATAAACTCCAGGAAACAGGAGACTAACATGCGCCAATGAACTAAAGACCAAAAACATAAATTAGGAAAAAGACTTGTTAATGCTAATGACCAAGTATGAAATGTAGCAAAATTAAAAGAGGTAATAGCAAAATAAACTGATGAACTAAAACTAAGTTAAAAAAAAATCCAAAAAAGGCAAGCATTGTGGAATACATAATTGTAAATTGCACTGAAAATTTAAAACACTGTTTACCTATGGAAATACAGAATATTTCACCCAATGTAATACTCAAAAAAATCATTACACACCTATTTTTGAGATACTCAACTTCTAAAGTAAAATAAATTTAAAAAGCAGTCAAAGAATTTTAAAACCACTATACAGTTAAAGAAACAAAATTAGAAATAACTTCTGGTATGCAACTTAAATTCTAAAGAAATGATCTGAGAGAAAATTAGAAGAAATAATTACACAAGAAAAATTAAACATCGTATCAATCTGCCTCTCCATTTTAAATTTGAAAAAAAGACCTAGAAAACAATATCAACAATATACCACCATTAGACAGAAAAGGATCAGCAGAAGTTCAAAGTTTCTGGGAGGGGATTTGTATGTGGCTAGCTAAAGATATAAAATATAATCAAATATAATATATATATATACCATAAGGTACAAAACAACCTACACAAATTTCAAAATAAAAGAAACAAAAGAGACATTGCAAAGAGAAAGCACATTTTAAAAGCTTATTTTATTATCAATAAATTAAAGGCAAGCAAAAAACCTTTTTGATGTAAACCTATCACGCCCCCCCAAAAGAGAACAAGCAGCAACAGAAATAAACTAAAGCGAATGAAATCTCCTAAGATTGTTCATCTTAACTCAATGTTTTATTGTCACCCATTTCTAAAGCTGTAATTTCTTTAGGGATGAGTCCAAAAGATAGTTGGGTAACATGTAAATTTGCTCTAAACCTCAACAATATGGCTTAAATTAGAAAATTCAATCTGTAATTTTAAAAGTCCATGATATTTAAGCTTCAGTATATACATGAGCGTCTTAACAAAAATCTAACATCCAGAACTTCCATTACTTAGAACCAGTTATCACTGAGGCTTTCGCTAGAAAAACATCTGAACAGTATATGCATTACCTAAAGTAGTAATTCAAAAGGCTTCTCTCTAGTGTTCAAAAGCCCAAATATTTAAAATATTACATTCTAAATATTACATTGTAATTAGAAAAAAACATATGAATCAGAACTTACTTGTTCCTCCAAGTGATCTAAATCCTTCTCGAATATTTTGTGTAAACATGGGAATAATGGGCTAAAGAGAGAATTTGAATTGAAAAGTAAACATATTAATTCATTTGATGTCTCCATTGAGCCACTAATGCAAACTTCTGAGGGCCCATTTAAGATGACAAAAATAAGGTGTTTTAAAAATAAATATACACTTTTATCACTAGTGTGATTTATCAGACTTGTTTAACTTGATCATATTTAAAAATACAAATTGGAAACACTACCCTCTAGTGGTAATATATAATATTTCATTTACCAGCTTTCCTATCATTCCACATGAACTCTTGAAACTCAAAATAAAAATGAATCATTAATTTCATTAATTAAAATGAATGTGATAATTAAATTGGTTTTAGTGGGCTGCTGAATAGTATGCCCGCTGAAGAAAGTTACAAGACAGAAATTCTCTCTACGGGGAAATCTATATAAATTTAAATGACAAGCTTTGGTAAGATGCTGTCATGGAATTAGTGAAACACTTTTTTTGTGAGCTTACTAAATCTAAAAATGTTCAACATCAATGAAAAGGAAGTATAAGACTCAACACCAAAAAAGAAGGGAAAAGCATATACATAAAAGAACTCTTTATATCATTAATTTGGGAGGATACCTGCTCAAGTTCATGGTTTTTATTTTTGCATAAAAATCAATGATTAAATATGATTTTTTTTAATGGAGACCTTATCTAAATGTCATAAAACAATGGGTAAAGTAACAAAGGATCATGTAAGGAGGTTATGCCACTGTGAAATTGAAGTAGATAAAAAATTGAATGAAACACTTTAAGATGTACACAAAATAGACTGAATTAAATGATGGTTTAGAACAGATAACACTGGAGGGGAACAGTAAACGTCACTTCACTTACAGTCTGCCACCAGCATCTGCCTGACACAGACTCACCTGCCTTAGTGAGCAGGGTTTGAAACACTTAAGTAAGTGACATTTAAAAAGCCACTCCTATTCAGCTTTGGACAGAAGGAAAGAGGCTATGGGTACAGCTTTCTTCATAAGACTTTTTCCAGAGTATATAAGCAGCTCATACGACTTAACAAGAAACAAACAAAG